ACGCGATCAAACTCTGCTCACCACATCAGTGATGACAAAGACATTATGTTAGAAACGCGCGGAGAAGAGCATAGTACTTACGAAAGCCCTACCAAGATCGATCGCTTGGACCAAGCCACTGTGCCAAGTGAATCGCACCTCACACATGAGGAGAATGCACAATCGGCAAGCTCCTCCAACGCGACTACCCCAACCTCATATATCGCAGATGAAGCAAATCGGGTCGACCCTAACTCCACTCAACCAGACTTACCTCTGGCTCCTGATACACGCAGAACTCCAACGTATTATGATGTATGGAATAGCGATAGTCTCGAATCTCACCAAGATAACGATCTATGGAAAGATCAATTACGATATCAGCACGTACGGATGCTCGGTCATGGCGGCAGCGCCAGTGTTGAAATGGTCTTCGATGTTAGCACGAACTGTTTCTTTGCACGAAAGATTATCAGAAACGTCTATTCTCGTAATATCGAAGAGGCGAAACGAAAGCTTCTCAACGAAATTCGGATCATGCGACGCTTAGCATCTCATCATCACATTGTCAGGGTACTCTCCACTCGTATTGCGGGCAGAGAGCTTACTATGATCCTTGACCCGGCTGCGGACGGCGGCGATCTGGCAGATTATTTGCAGAATTATCGCGACCAAGGCTTCCATTTGTTCGGCGAGAAAATCAGCAAGGAAAACACATACCAGAATCTCGTTTTGCGTAAAGCATTCGGTTGTTTAGCCTCCGCTCTGGATTTCATTCACCGTCAAACTGTCAGACACAAAGACATCAAGCCGCAAAACATATTGATTCACAAAGGGAACGTCATGTATACAGACTTTGGCCTCTCTTACGATTTCGGAGATATCGGCCGAAGCACGACCACCGGTAACCCACAAGGTATCACTAGGAGATATTGCGCACCAGAAGTGGCTGAGTGGGGGAGAAGAAACACCAAATCGGATATATTTTCTCTTGGGTGTGTATTTATCGAGATGGTTCTGGCGTTGGCGAATGATGCCTCCTACGACCAGACTTACGAAGGGAATTTCCAAGAGGTTGTGCGATCTTTTCCTGGTGGTTTACCGCTGCCATCTATCGATTTTGAGGACGGCCTTGGTTGGGAGATCACCGATGCCATCAAGGAGATGATGCGTGCTGACTCTACATTAAGACCTTCGGCTTCCAGAATCACCGACGTGATCTTTCATAGCGACCTTATAACGCTAATGTACTGTTCAAGATGTTGGGCGGCGTATTGGAATATATACTGAGTCTAGACAACCAAGAGAGTCAATCATAGGTCTTGGAATGACTGAGAGCGTATACTCGGCACGTCCAAAACAAAGCAGCTATCTGCCTGGAGGCTGCATCTTGTCAAGTTGCAATTGAAAACAACGGGTCAACTATGTTGATGTTTCGATCTAGTCCAAACTCCACTACAACATCGGCATACCCTCCATACCCGGGAGCGCCGTCAACCAGCCATCGCGCTCTTCCTTTACACGGTTGGGCACAAGACACTTGTTTCCATCAGCAGGCTGCTGCGTCTTCAAGCTACCGCAGTTGGCACCCATGCAGCCCTTGGCATCATCCATAGCCTTCTGGAGCGAGTCGTCCTTCCAGCCGAAGACGTAGTCTCCATGCTGTCCATATCCAGTGTTGTCACCGGTAGAGAGGACGAAGGGTTGCGAGCCATCCGCAGGCCACTCGGCTTTGTTGTTGAACTTGCTGGTATCCCAAACGATCTGCAAGCACGTTAGCTTAGCAAACACGACTAGATGGTGGATGTCTTGAGACTTACCTCGAGCATAACCTGCGGGATCTTCACGGGATGAGTCGACGGGCAATTGCCACCGGTGCCAGTACCTGAGAACAAAGCCGGGCCGTTGGAGGGGTACGCGACGTGCGATTTGTGGTCGGGCGAGTCTAGGTTCTTTCCGTCCCAGCATCTGTCAACGGGTCAGTGGCGCACGAGGTTGTGCGTGATGGGCCACTTACGTTGGGTAGAGAACGTTGCTACGGATACCACCCGGGCAGGGTGTCGTAGGGAAGCCTTCAGTGTCGAGTCTTGGAGCGTCAGCATGGTCATGAATACAACGAGACGGGCATGCTCACTTGGCATCCTGGCAAGGCGCGGCATTATCGCCACCGAAGTTGGGCGCGTTGTAGCATCGGAAGCAAGTCTGAGTCTTCATACCCTTTGACACGCGGTTGGTGGCATCACCAGTGAGCATGCGGAAGCCCTGTATGCTGTGTCAGAGAATGGATTTGCATGTAGAGGTACATGGCTTACGGGCTTGAAGGCAGTGACTTGACCTTTGCCTCCAGAAACGTAGTAGACGACGAAGCCCCCGGTGGTCTTTCCAGTGTACTTGTCGTTGAAGAGATCCCTGTTAGGGATTTGAGGTACGCGCTTGTATGTTCCATTGCGGGCCTTGAAGTAGACATTCGCGGTCCAGTAGTTAGAAAGCTGTCACCCAAACCGTCAGCTTGATCGTTTTGTATTCATTGCCTGGACTTACATCCTCCGAGTACCCGCAAGTAGTGCATGTCGCAAGCTTGGCGATATCCGTCGACTGCATAGTGATGTTGAACGCATTTCCACCAACTACCTGATGCATATGCGGTGACGGCGCTTGGCCTGGATTGACCAAAGGATCGATACGGTCGATGACATTTTGAGCGCACCCAAATCGCAACATCGTGAAGCCCTGAGAGCCACCGAACTGAGGCGCAGCCTGCGCGACGGCGGCGAGGAGGAGAGTAGGGAACAGCATGACGATTCGCAATGTCTCTTCACGGCAGGATCTGTAGATGATGGAGAAGTACAGAAGAATGCAGAGAAGACGCACTGGAAGATAAAGTACTTGAAAGAATGTTCTATGAAGCTTACACACCTACCCCATGCGACCCACACGCAGAAGCTTTGCCCATCCGTCTTGACTTCCGCATTCGACGTACAACTGCCGACCCCATCTGTACCAAAGAAATCATATTAGGGTCACCACAACTTCACCTAATGCGTACGACCTCGTGGCATCGAAGCAATGTCGGCAGTTGCGGAGCTAATATGCTGATCCCGCATTCGGCTAAAGGCTTGAGATTACTTCACCAACCTGACCACTTTCTTTGGACGACGTATGGTACCGGGGCATGGGGATCGACATCTCCTCGTGGGGATGTAGTCAAGAACATGGGGATGGAAGTGGCGTTATCGGAAAGATCGGAGTCATGGCATGAGAATTGAATTGATTCTCGTGTCCTATTCTACCACACTACTATGTGTTGGAATCCAGCCCCGCAAGCCCAGAGTTGGGAACGACTAAGCAGGCGCAGGGATCGAGCCGGCAACAGCCTTGATGCCTGCGTTCCAGATGTCGCCCATGCGCGCGTATCCAGCGACATTCCTATAAGATCAGTCAGCTGAGCGATCTCCAGATGAACGCGTTCATACTTACGGGTGCAGGTTATCGCTCAACTCGCTGCTCGTGCTGAGGACGTTCATATCGACGATGGAAACCTTTGATCCCTTGCTAACCCTGGAAGCGACGATAGCAGGCAACGCGTTGTTGAAAGTCTTGATGTTGGCGTTGAGACCCGATTGCTTCGATGGGATGATCTTGGCCACGATAACAACGGCGTTGGGGACTGCCTTCAGAACGTCATCAAGCAAGAGTCCAAGTCGTCTCGGCGCATCAGCATCAGGCTCTGAGGAAGGGTTTCCTCTGTTCAGGTCGTTGGTACCGGCATGGAGCAGAACGACGTTGGGCTTCAATGCAAGCCCGCCGGCAGCAACGCCGCGGATCTGGGAGATGGTGTAGCCAGGGAAACCTTGGTTGTCCTTGTCCGCCATGGTTCCGGACTGTTGCGTGCCGACAAAGTCAACGGTGTAGCCGCCAGACTTGAGGTCGGCCAGCAGCCGCTCACGGTAGCCATTTGAACCGCCGCCGTTGATGTAACCCCAGGTAATGGAGTCGCCTAGCGGCAGGATGCGGAGGTTCTTCGACTGGCGTGCGACGAGCGCATCGGTGGGAAGACCATTGACGAAGGATAGGACTGCGTGTTGTTGTTAGTCACGTGTGCATGTGTCCCGTCCATGTAAGAGCCCTACAGAATGAGAGGATAGCCAACGGCAGAGCCAATCGCGTCATCATGTTTGACAGCATCGTGATCAGATATCGAGGTCTTGTCAATAACGCACAAGCGACGCAGCCAGAGGCGAGACGCCCTTTTGATGTAAAATGCCCAGCTTCATCGTACCCCAGATCCAGTCCATGCGTGCTTGTGCACCCTCAAAATGGCACACATGGCGTCAGTTTCTCCGTCGATTTGATGAAGCCGAGAGGTTAGCGCGTGCCAATCCTGATTAACCTGCGACAGAGCTCGTGGACGCGAATTCTCCGTAGGCAGAACTACGGCTAAGATGGCGGCGGAGTGGAGGTACCTAAGGAGGTTTGTGCACCATGTCGTCATGAAACGACGCGACTTTCGACGCGCGCGAAAGGATCACGTCTGCGATTAGAGTTCATATTGCGACGCGCTATTGAGAGCTTCGCGATAGGTATGATGCCACCGCAACATCGCCGTTGACGCGCTCGGTGTTCTAGGGCTGCTTTTAGCCTCGGTCCCTTACCTTGATGTTTCGATGTTTCGATGTGGAGAGCAATTTGGCCTTGACAGCTGTCCCTAAATCTCCCCGCATCCTAGCTCCATTGGGTATAGCTCAGACGATAATAACATGTCCACAACACCAAGAGCCCCTCAGTCTCGTCATCCTTTCGCATCGAGTACGTGTTACACAAGTTACCCTGAACGGGTACGCAGAAAGCTTCGATGAATTGCCTTGTTAGCACAGCTGAGTGAACGAACTTCCAGGTTCTCAAATTGTGCGCTCAGTTGAAGCCTAGCTATCGGTCTCTTAACTGAGCTTGGCAGTGTCGAGATAGCTTCTGCAATAGCTGAAGTCGCGAATTCGTCCAACTGGTAAGACCATGGTATAGTCATGGACTGCCCATCCTATCAATACGAGAGCCTGGCTGCGCCCGATCATATCCGCCTCATCACCATTCTTCCTGGAGAGCGGGGAACGGCTATCAAACTCGGTATCGAGCATGCCGACATCAACTCGCATCCCAAGTACGAGTGCCTGTCGTATGCTTGGGGGACAGATGACCATACGCGATCCGTCACGATCGACGGTTCTTCGCTACTGGTCACTGCCACCCTCTATGTCGCACTCGAGCATCTTCGCCATGCATCACAAGAGCGCAAGATTTGGATAGACGCTATTTGCATTAACCAGAAAGATGTTGCTGAGCGAAATAGTCAAGTCGCTATTATGAGGAAGATATACCGAAATGCGACGCGCGTGATTGTGTGGATTGGACCAGCCACCGAGTCGAGTGAACAGGCCATGGAGTTTTTGGAGATGCTGGCTACAGCTAAGTCTAAGTTTGATCAAAAGGTACCTGAATCAGCTAACAGCCCAACCTATTGGGAGAGACTGAAAGTTGCCTCCTACGAGTGAACACATCGCTGACGCGGCGATTTCATCAGCATAAGTGGCCAACCCCATTTCCGCCGAAACCAGACACGCCAATAGTCGACCCGCCCATACCTAACCCGCCAAAACCAGAACCAAGACCAAAACCGAAATCAATGTTAAAACCAAAACCAAAACGAGACCCAAGCCCGCGCTTGCAAAAGCTGCGTGAGCGCCGAAGGCAAGAGTTCGATATGTACACGGAGGCTGAAGAAACTGCGGAAGCTGCAAAGCACGATTTCGCCGTGACAGGCGTGCCCCTACTGTACAATTCGCACGGCGGTCCCTACGACGAGTATTTCAAGAATGAATGGGAGCCCTATTGGGAGGCCCTCGATGAGCTACTTACTCGCCCTTGGTGGGAGCGAACCTGGATTGTACAGGAAATATGGTGTGCTTCGGATGCAGTACTACAATGTGGCTTCACGATCATTGAATGGAAAACGTTTCAGATGGCCATGGATTACTCCGAAGCATGGGACGATATTGGAGACGCCCTGGAAGGCATGAAAAGAAAGTCGCAGTGGGATACATTGCGAAGACGTTATACACTGGCGATAAATCTTGCCAAAGCAAGAGTCAACGGGAGTTCGCTATCTTCACTGCTTTGGAATACCTGGGATCGCGCGTCCACGGATCCAAAGGACAAGGTATTCGTTGCATTGGGATTGGTGGGCGACACTCAAGGTATCTCCGTGACACCTGATTACGGCAAGTCAATGGATCAGGTGTACCGAGAGACTGCACATCACATCATGGCAAACGAAGGTCGACTTGACATCCTACTGGCGGCCAGTGGCATTCATAGTAACGATGGCTTACCGTCATGGGTACCGGATTGGCGTCGCGAGGCGTACGCAAAGAAGCCGGTTCTACTTGTCAATCGCCATCTACTGATGAAGCTATGCTATCCGGGGTCTATTGTCATGGCAGTGCTCCAAGGACATGGCTATCGTGCAGCTGGCAACTCGGAGCCATATAGTTCCTTCAGCCAGGATTTACGTGTGATGACGGTATTAGGCATACAGTTCGACAGTATCGCGGAGGTATGGGACGTAGATGTCGCTGCCATGCGCGATGGTGAATTCATCGATCAGGCTTTCGACTTCATCCTTCAATCGAAGTTTTTGTCTACCGAGGCACGACAGATAGTGTCAGCGGAAAGAGCAGACCTCGCCACTTCACGGCATAGTTCGATCGTAATGACGACACTTACTGGTGGGGGTAACGTACGGAACGATAGGAGAGCGCCGACGATGAGAAACATTATGCGACAACGGCGGCTTTTCGTGACGAAGCAGGGATATATTGGGATTGGCCCAGTAGAGGCCCGGTCCCGTGATGTGGTCTTCATCATCTCTGGCTGCAATTTCCCGATCATACTTCGACCGAGAAAGGACATGTTCGCGGTTGTTGGTGAAGCTTACATGAACGGCTATATGGCCGGTGAAGCTCTAGCTCTGGCTCCGGCTCGTCCGTGGAGGAAGATCTCGATACTGTAGGACAAAAAAAATGAACCTTCAGTATTTGCTCGATTCGAAGCTTATCTACCGTTTTAAGTATTCTGGTATCGTATAGCAGAGCTGCACGTTGAACGAAGGGCGTGTGATCTCGTCACGATCTACTCCTTTTGATTTAGCGTGGTGGCTGTGTGAGGTCCTCCCCGGGGCCATGTAATCAGCCGCTTGGCCGACACGCAGCTGCCTCACTTCTTTTCTCACCTCTCCTGAGACAATAACGCTACCCTCAGCAAGTGACAGCACGCATTGCGACGAAACTCAATCGACAGAGATGGGCAGCAACTGATGGTAAGGTGGAGGGATGAGAAATGTTCATCGCTGCGCGCGCGATGGAGAGCGCGTCGAGCACTTGCTAGGATATGCGACTGCCGGCCTTTAACCCGGCGCAAGCCACGACACAGTACGTCGAGCAGTTACACGACTTCGACTTAAAGCAATACAGCCTCTGGCCTCGCGATTTTATAGCTGACAGGGCAATTGTACGTGTCCACGTGTCTGAGAAGCTCTCACAAACCGGTGAGGCGCACTGCGCCAGAAGCCAGACATGTATATACTTGCAAAGTACAGGTAAAATAACTCCTCCTTATATTCGTGTCCTGTCACTCAAAAGTCGCTACGAATGCTCCTTTTTGTCCGGTCGCTCTCTTTCACTCTCCTGCTGAGAAAATGGCATCACAGCACGCCTCGTCACTCTTACCCTTCATTTATCTCGTGCTTTTGTCCGCTCTCGCGTTACCTACCTATGGCGTTTGCTATAGAAGCGATGGACTCTTAGACATGGTTCCACGGCCCTGTCCCGGGTCAAACATGTGTTGCTATCTCGATCGAACCGACGGCTATGCAGACGATGTATGTATCCAAGGCGCTTGCTACAGCGACTACTGGAAAGGGCAGTACTTCGTGGTCGCATGTACACATCAGAACTGGGACGAAGAGGGCAGTGGATGTAGTCCCCTGTGGGACGCTTGCGGTACGCATCATCACCAAAACCTTCTGCCGCGGAGCACTGACTGTAAACCCCAGGCCGTCAACCAGATTACACCCACGTCTCGCACTGTGCCGATGGCAGCTTTTGCTGCGGCAAAGGCAACACTACATGTTGCAGCGACCATTCTGGTGTATATGTGAACGAAGACGGAACGATTATCTTACGCTCGGACTCAGGGAAGATCGAGGATACCCCGTCTTCATCATACACGCCGCACAGCACTCCGATTCCTACATCGTTGCAAACGCGTTCATCCAACCCGACTATTACATCAACGCCCAGCGAAACTTCTCAGACAGCAACAGCGGCTATCGCACCGTCATCAGAAAACTCAACAGGAGGACTGTCGACAGACGCTAAAGTTGGAATTGGGGTTGGTGTACCGGCTGTAGTCCTCGCGGCTTTTGGGGTGTGGATGCAATGCCGAAAATGGTTGCCTTACCGTAAGCGGTGGTCTCATCGTTGAAGGTGCCACCGTAGGATTTCATATGTCTACGATGCCAACCAAACCGCAAATCCAAGCGTAGAGAACGATCTCAAGAAGAACGTAGCATGAGATCAATGGAAAGAATGCCAGTTGCCCAGATTGCCCTATGAACCCCAGTAGCAGCAGCTCTATCATCAACTACCACAAAACCTCCATCAATCTGGCATGCATCAACTGCTCACAGTAATAAGGTTCAAGAACGCCTAGTAAATGCGATCCCCAATCATTGACGAACCACTCGATGTAGAATGCCTTGGCGAACTCCCAATATTCCGGGTACCACCCTGACATTTCCCAGTCGATGATTGCAGCCACACGACCATCTTTGACGATGACGTTGTCAGGCCTGAGATCCCCATGGGTGAAGACGATACCATGCTTATGCGCATTGAGCATGCCGCGGGCGTAAGGGCCAATCTGGGTTTTGGACTTCGTGACAAAGGCGTCTATTATTGTAGCATTGAAGTCTTCTATGCTTTTGAACGGACCTGCACGTCTAGTTAGAAATACGCTACCAAAGGCTTGGTATGGGCGTGATGATATACCGCGACAAGACGTAGACCATTCTAACATGTTATCAGTGACTGGTCCTTCGTCCACAGATCCGATGTAATTAGCTGGCGGAAGAGAGCGCAGCTCGTCCATGTGCTTCTTGAGGTCCGCCGAGATTGCTTGTTTCTCGGTGGAGGTGTGTTTATCCCATGCCTTCCCTAAGTCTTCGCCTTCGATAAACTCCATAAAGATATATACATCGTATACGGTCGCATGATCATTAAGGTCTCGGTCTATAGGTCCGTATGCATATGCTGCATATAGTTTTGGGACGGGAATTGATGTCTTTTCAGCCACATACAACATATTCTTGGCTTCGATGAGAGAAGCATGGTGTCCCCATTTTACTGCTACCGTTGGTGACATTTTCGCCAGATTTCCTCCAATACTCTCTGGATTTGATGTGTGGAATTGTTCTGGAGTGATGAGTTTATGTCCTGGGGCGAGATATTGCACATGGATCTGTGGACTGGAAGGCATTGAACTGAATAGCTCTGGCATTGCGGCTGCTTGAAACGCAGAGATAGGCTAGTAACTTACATGAGTGATGCAATACGTATTTACAAATTTCCACTTACATGATGCATGTTATCTTTGAACACTGCCATCTTGGAGCGGCTTGTGCTGGCTTTGATCAGAGGGGGTCAGCTGTTCTTCTATCTGATCGAAGCAGCACCGTCGATAGTGTCGACTTTACCGTACGAAGCTTTGGCAATGAAGAAACAAGCATCAGATAATATTGACGTTAGTGCGACGTGTCTTAGGTACTCCGTAATGCGCGGTTTGGGAAAAGACAAAAGAAGGTACGCTGTACTGCGCGGGGTGCCAGTGCGGGGCAGCCTTCTTGCCTAGTTTGCCCGAGGAATTACCGCGCCCCGGCAGATTCAGCACGCTCACTCCTAAAACATCTACGAGAACACTCACAAAACCCCCACAGATGGTATGAGTAACTGGAAAATACTGTCCGCAATTACATGGATCGAAGCGCTTTTACATCGCGGCAGCGTGGGCCTCAGCGACTAACACACGGGGATATGTCTGGGAAGACCTCCGAGAAAACAGCGAAGGAAGGGCACGCAAGGGCCGCCAACATGCATTGTTCTCATACAAGAGCCATTACTGCTCTTACTCTACTCAGTCATGCTCAGATAAGGACATCGCATGCCACTCAGAGATGAGCGTCATATGCCTCGTACATCGCCTACGCAGATGCATTTCTACGACAAACATGTTATCTTATGCCATTTCACTCAACCAAGGACGAGCTGCTGCAAAGGGAAGCTCCAACCGTCAAGAAGGCATTGCGGTGTGATAAAGGAAGGTAAATTCGTTGTTCCAGAGGCTGCTCATCATCCTACCCTGGCCTCATGGGCGCAACGAAGCAACATTTTCCAGTCGCATGAGGACGTGGACTTCTGGAGGGGAGATACCCGTTATCTGAAAGGGCAACCCTTGCAGCGGACATACCGCTCACACTCCAAGTATTGACCACGCCCTTGCTTAACGCATGTATGAGCATATGGCAAAATGCATATTCCTGCCAACCAGCGCGCTTTCGACAAACCACCCCACATGCCATCTTGAGGTCTGATCACCACCTGAGTCCAGTCTGACCGGCCCCAGCTTTCTGTCTTGCTCAGTCTCCGAGCCTTCTATAGGCTTGCTATGCGAGCTGTCCCCTGTCCGGTGGCGTCTGGATTACCGTATGCGAACGCTGCTCGCATGACAGCCCATTCTGCAGCCATGAAGGACGAATAGGCCGCCAGGGGGTCCTTCACTGGATCATTCAGGGCATATCTTGCCATGGCCGTTGCAACTGCGTCATAACAGCAATATATGTCTTGGGTTGCGATTACTTGGCGTTCTTGGGTCTGCGATAGCCAGCTCTTAAGCATGCCGGGTGCCTGGGGGTTGCTGCGCACACCTTCGTAGGTCGATATCTCAGTCTGATCTCTTGTTATCTTTTCCTCTGCCGCCTTGATTTGCTGCCAATTTTCCGTTCTCTCATACTCAAAAAGAGGTTTTCGACATGGCAGATCCCAGCTATGCAGCAGCTGAGCCGGGGGACTTTTTCTGTCCAGATGGTGGTACTTGGTGAGTCGACGATCTGACATCAGAACGAACATGACCTTCAACGCTAAAGCGTGACTGAATAGCGCTGCCAAGTACGAAACTAACAGTGATTAGGTACGTCTGCGAGACGGGCACAAAGTTCGTGGGATGCTGCATGTCAGATCCGTGCCAGCATGCCTGCTTCGGCGATGCACTAAAACCAGCGGGACGAAATCCAAGACTCAACAACATATCACCTGGCGCATCTTGTGGTGGAACGACACCATTCTGGACTTGTTCGATGGCTCCGACGTTCTACGGATGTTGCAACGAAGATGCGTGCATGAACAACTCGACATGTCCAGAGGGGCAACTGGAGCCAGCGTTCTGGGACCGACCCGACCAGTACTACTACTTCCATGACTTGAACGTTGCGCTCTCATCCACAGTTCCTGCACCGACGGCATTTTCGACCGCTGTCAGTACGTCTGCGCCTGCTAGTGATACGCCTACAGCCACAGCTTCCGCCAGTTCTGAGGGAGTCTCTGGTGGGGTCATTGGAGGTGCTGTCGGGGGATCACTCGCCGGCGTAATTATCATCGCCGCAGTGGTGTTCTTCCTGTTTCGCCGCCGGCGCAACAAGAAAGGCAATGCCGAAGCAGAGGCAGCCAATGGCCAGGTGATACCAAAAGCCGAATTGGCATCGCCTACAACAACAACTGGTCTCGCACCATCAAACGGATTCTCACGTACGCTTCATAACATGAAACAGATGAGTCTCATTACTGACTGCGTATAGCACCGCCCACCTATTCTTGGGACACTTCCGGCCACGAACAGAAATGGACACAACACCACATCGGCACTGGTGAAATGATGGGAGATACAAGAAACCGTGAGGTTAATGCGAAATGCGCTGATAGTCATGGGCCTGCCGAGCTGTATGGGGCTCTACCGGCAAGAGAACTTGAGTCACCAGAGTACATTCCGAAAGTAGCGCAGGGAAAATCCGCCCACGACAGGTCGAAGCAGGAAGCAGATGGCGCGGATGCCACTAGTGATGAGAAAGCGGCAGCAGTGAACGCACAAACGTGAAGGTCTTTCAGCTGTTTGTGAAGCTTCGAATCGAAGTATTGCGTCGTTTTATATGCTAGGATCTTGTAAGCTACCAGGTAACTGCCTCTAACTCAACGACGATGCGCGACGCTCCCAGATTCCTGAATCAATCTCGTTCCGAGTACGGCCAAATTCTCCTCATCTCTTCCGGTGTCATGCCAAACTCACTACTCCTGCGCACGAACTCTTCTAGCAATTCCTTGTTCTGCTGTTGTTTCGCAGGAAAGTCCAACATCGGATTGATCCAGCCTTCGAAATCAGCATTGAGAATTCCTCTCGCAAATTCGTGTACTTTGTGGTAGTTACTGTACTTTTCGAACTGTTGCTCAAGCCTTTGCACATCCTCTTCGCTGAAGTTGAGCGGACATTCGCCTTCGAAGCCAATTTCGTCCCATAAATCAACAACCTGGAGGAGACACGCGCGAAGTGGTATCTCGCCCTCTTCCGATACCTCTCCGCATCGAGTGAAGAGCTCGCGGAGGAATGATGATATCAGCAAACACCTCCAAACCCGCATATTCGTGGCTGCGGTACTGACTTCGTACACCTTTGCTTCTTTAGCTTGCTGAAACTTGTACTCAGCCAGTTCCCTATCTTCAGCATTCATTTTGTCTAGATCAGGCGGCAGGTCTGGAAGCTTGATAGTACCCAATTTGTAGTCATCATCGACTGTGAGAAATTTCGGAAATCGTGCTTGCAAGAACAGTGGCGAGACTACAATAGACTGCCAGTCGATGATCGATGAGATTTGTGGTGGCATCCGCCCTGACACGTATATGTTGCCCATGTGGAGGTCTGTGTGCCATAGCACCGGCTCAGAAACCTTTCCGATGAGCGTGCGGTCGTTCAGTCGAGACATGACCTCTTTGGTCATATTAAGAGTATCGATCTGCTCATCGAGAGTTCCTCGCGGTGAATCAAATGTTGCATCGGAAGTGCGATTTTGCAGAATTGCGAGTTCTCGTTCGACGAGAGCAGTTCCATATGAAGACAAATCCGGCCCTGATAAATAAAGTCAGCTATGACGCGAATCATCCATGATCGTACTTACACGGCCCCCGATCAAATCGAGGGCTTGCACTTGCTAATGCTTCCGTAATATGCCATCCTCGCTCGCATGAGGGGCCTATGCAGGACTCTCCCACAGGGTCAGTCTCTTGGCCCAGAGCGACGTGTGTGTCGCCTTCTGTCATTGACTCCAAAAGGTAAAGACTTCCACTTGCCGGGAACCGAATTTCAGCCATCTGTTTTTCGTATTCGGTCAATTGGCCAAAGAATTTGAATCACTCCCAGTCGTTCAAATCTCCCCACACTTCGTATTGCTGAACCCCAGGAGCCTTTTCCATGATGATGTACTCAGCACCGACCGGGTTTGACCGATCAGCGTTCCATGCTAGAACTTTCGGTGCTGGGACTTGAGTATACTTGTTTACTGTCGACAACGATACGATGAGCCGACGTCACGCAGGCTTTCCAGAATAACGAGGACGTACGGTATATGAGAACAGCCACCTCCGACGCCGTGGTGTACTTTGGTGGCCCCGCGATAGGGAAAGGTATCTTCGCAACGACCTCGCTTCCATCCTCTCTGCGTAAAAGAAGTGCTTTACTGAACCCCCCTTCCATCTTGTCGATTGCGCACACGGGCGAGTACCGCCCACCAGTAGTCGCAGCTACGGCGCAAAGCTGATCTAAGTCGAATGTTACATATCTGCGATCAACCGCCTTCTTCTCGTTCGCTAAGAAACGTCCGTTCGTGTACTTGAATAGGTCCTCGCGATCGATCGGGCTGCCTGCTTTCGTTGGCTTATTGACGAGGCTGGGACCGCGCAGTAGTTACCACGACATGTTATTGTGAGGGCTCGAGAGCCCTGGGTCGACGCAAGACGCGCATTTGCGCGAAACGAATGTCGCAGTATGATGCTCGGTCGAAGCGCTGATAGCATGACTGCATCGCAATGCAGTTCTGGGGTAATCTAGAGAGTACCGGCTGCGCTGGGTGACGCGCTCGCGTGCCCTCCACGCTACGAAGTGGCCCCGCCTCGCGAAGGCGCGCACTCGCGCTCGGCTGACGGCCCACCTGCGCAGCTGTACAAAAGAAAAACAAGGAACCTAGTTAGTGTATTATACTTACAATTTCTCTTATTTATAAAAGTATCTTTTTATTAAAATTATTAATATTATAAAAGTTATAAGTAGCTTATTTTACTTTATATTATTATAGTACTATAAAATAAAGTAAATAAAACTAAAAAATAAAATTATATATAAGTATAAGTTAAAAAAAAGAAAAAGTAATAAAAAAGTAACTACTATAAGTACTACTTCTTAAGTATACTATATATATACTATAGCTTTTAATATACTTACTATTAACTTAGCTACTAAGCTTAGCTTTTATAGTATATTACTACTATTTAATATTTTAATAATACTTTTATTTCTTATAAAGTTTATTATAGTAAAAAAAAAAATAGTAAAGCTAAAATTTACTTATTACTATTTTATTATTATTTTTAAACTTATTTCTTTTAAAAATTTTACTACTATACTATTATATTATATAAAAACTTAAAATACTAAAAAGTACTTTTTTTTTTTTAAAAAGATTTAAAGTATATTATATATACTAAAAATATAAATATAGTATATATAGCTAATATTTTATAAGTAATAACTTAGTAGCTAAGAACTTTCTAATTACTAAAAAAATAGTAGTATTAAATTTAGTTTATTAACTTTAGCTACTAAGCTTTTAGCTAATACTTTATAAGTAAGCTATTTTAAGTACTATATTTAATAATAAAGTATAATATAAGTAAGTACTAGCTATTTTAGCTAAATATAAAATTTTTATCTAATATTAGTATAAATAAAAAAAGTAAAGAAATATAGTAAAAATAGCTAAGTAGCTATTATAAGTAATAAGTTATCTAGTTAATTATTTAGATTATCTAGTTTATCTAGTGCTAGTACATTAAATGTAAAGTTAACAAGGAACTCTGGCTTTAACAGGAGTACAAGGAACGAAAAGCGGGCGCGATAGTAATCATTTAAGATTACTGATAACAATCACATTAGGCGAAGACGGCCAAAAGTATTTTCGTGCATTTCATGACGATGATCGCAAGTGCGCTAAGAGACACAGTAACAGAGACGCCGAAAAAGACTCAACGACTAACACTTTCCATTCGAATCCAACTCGTTATGTTCTGACCCTCGCGAAAATGTTGCGCGACATGATCCATTCTCTTCGCGGTAGTCTCAAGCATGCACCCGCAGAATCCACACCAGCATGATCCAGGTCCACCGGGCGAGACAATCAAACTTCTTGACCATTCCTTGGGTACCTCAAACCTCTTCTTGATCGGCGGAGGTGCATCCGCGAGATGCGCAAGGAAGACGTGCTGTTTGAGAAGATCCTTGCGAGGAAAACTACGTTCAGCGGTGCACTTGTTCGAACAGGGATCGATTGCATGCTTGTCAAGATGATCGATCGAGTCCATTGACTCCAGGCAGAAGACACATTCGGACTGCAGCTTGAATGCGTCCGTCAACATGCAGACCCATTCTCGATCGTTATAGCCGTGCACACTAGCCTCATGTCTCTTCCAGTCCGAAGCGTTCTTGAAGGCTTTGACACATACAGTGCAGGGAAATCTGTTCTCCGGTTCCTGGAAACTGGGACAGGACGAGATCTGCTGTGGAGCAACAGGCTGTTGCTCGCTCGTGCTGTATTGGTGTCGCTGAGCGTGATACCTCCGACCTTTGCGCTTTGGCATGGCAGCTTCCTGCAGACCGGACGCACTGAACGCTTCCTGACGCGCTGGGTTTGCTGCAGGATGTTGGTAGACCTGGGTTTCAGTGTCTTGATTGCTGTCTGGCGTGGAATAGCCTGGGTCAAACGGCCAAGGCCATGAATTGATGTCGCCCGTGTTCGTTGCAGGCGAGCAGGTAACGTTGTCATCAGCGAAAGACATGGATACAGGTTGTGCGTAGCTTGACCGAGCCGACATGTTGGCGTGCAGTCCGGTATTGGACGGAACCTGGCCATTTTGTACCTTGGCATGGCCGTCAAACACTAGATGTAATGTCAGCAGGGTAGTCAAGACATGATAATACAATATATCAGGCTTACAGTGCTTCTCGCGGGCTCGAGTGTTTGTGAAACAGGTTTTGACTTGATCCACAGAGCATCCGGTAGATTCAGCAAGACTTTTCTTCTCTGCTTGTGAAGGATAAGGCCGAGATGCATGATCGGAGAGCCAACGCCGAACTATTTGCAGCAGTCTTTGATATTCGGTCGATGTAGACGAGTCACTATATGGGCTGCGTTGTAACGTCGATATCTGCAGATGATCCTCTGGCTGCTGGATTGGGCCTGCATGGAGGAATTCTGCATCTTGCATCCATAGGCCAAAGTCCGGAAGCTCTGCATCGGTATGGTCCAAAACAGCATCTTGGTCAGCAGGGACGCCATGTGGAGGCCAGAGATTAGTCAAACCGTTCTCATCTTGCACATCTCCGCCGTCAAAAAGCGACTGAAGCGGCTGCGTAGCAGTGACAGCGACACCGAGGGTATTGTCGAGTTCTATATCACCCAAGGAAACGAAGCCACTATGTGCGGCATCCTGGGAAAAGTAGCTGGTGCAGCTGTCGAGGTGCGCGACGTGACCATCGAAATCGACGAAGATGTCGGACTCAGGATATGAATTATTCGCGTCGTGATAGAGAGCATCCTGCCCATCGACGTCTGAAGCGGCTTCGTTCCAGATGCTACTAGTGCGTAGTGCTGTCAGTACCGTACAAGTGGATTTCGTAGCTGCAATTGCAATGGACGCTTCGCGTGTGCAGCTCGATTGCTGTACGGAGTACCCATGCAAGATGATGTGTGGGACTAGAGTATGTGATGTTCTATATGGAAAGAATTGCGAATACCTTTTGTCGCTGAAGTTTACAAAATTAGGGTGGGCCGATTTCGTTGCTGCGTCGAGAAACTGGACGTCATTGTACGTTAGCAAGGCTGCATGGCGGACAATGAGGGACCGGCAGGGGTGGCCTTGCAGCCTGAGGACTGACTCCAAGCTACCGCCCAGCAGGCAGACTCACGTTGGTGGGGTCGGCCATCGGAGGCGAAGGGGTCGTAGCTCCGCCGCCAAGCCTTTTCTGGTCCATTTAAGTACAGAATCGGACACAACACAACAACAAACTTCCAGAAAGTGATTTTGAAAACGGGGAAAAGGTGGTAGAGTCTCAGAAGACCTTTGGAACTCTTTTTCAGCCTTCATGATGAGTTTCAAGGCGTCGCAGTCAAATAATCCGAAAAGATACGCCGGGAAGACTTCTATCGCTAACTCGATCTGGTTAGCCTCATGTGCTGATGCGACGGCGTGCGTGCAATCACGTGATGACGAATACATTGGCAGTCCAGGCTCCACACTTGATGTATTGCTCTCTCGAACGTCCGAATATTTGAATGAATAGATTCTAGTCTCAGGTTACGTAGAAATGCCCTGATTTCGTCAACGTTTTGGTAAACTGCGACAATCCTATCGCGTTCTGAACGACTCCTGAGTGTCGGAGTGGAGCACCAATGTATAGCGGGGGAACTCCATTCATGTAGCTATCAGCATGAGGCGTAAAGATCTCAATGGAATCCTGAAAGTACCAAATTATTGAACAAATATCATATTCTTCTCATGACCAAGTCACTACATCATCAATATATACAAGCGATCATCTCCGATCCCACCCCCATCTAAGCCTCCTCAGCAGCAGCGAGAATAACATCCGCCGCCTTCTCCGCAACCATGTACGTAGACACAGCAGTGAAAGTACCAGGAATCTTAGGGAAAACACTAGCATCAACAACCCTCAATCCAGCAACGCCACGGACCTGGAACTTGGAGTCAAGAACAGCCATCTCATCGTCATCAGCACCAATGGGGCAGGTAGACGAGCAGTGGTGACCCCAAGCAGTGTCCTTGGCGTACTGAGCAATCTTCTCGGGGGTGTTGGCGTCCTTGCCGGGCAGGACTTCGTCAATGGGGACGAGTTGGCGCTTGAAGGAGTCACGGGCGAGGTCGACGGCCTCGGTGAGGGCAGTGAGATCCTTCTCGTAGTCGCCAACACCGGTGTCGAAGTAGTTGTAAGTGATCTCGGGGACGTCGAGAGGGTCGGCAGAGCGGAGCGCAACGGTTCCGGCGTTGTTGCGCGGGTGCGCCTTGAGGATGGCCCAGGTGAACCAGTCGTGCTCGGAGGTGGCGTTGTAGCTGTAGCCGGGGAAGTAACCGCGGAAGTTGACGGGGCCACCGAAGGCGAAGATGTCGTACTCGTCGCGCTCGGAGACGCTGGACTTGTAGAACATGGTGGCACCGAGACCTGGGGAAGCGTAGATGCCGCGGTTGCCGAGGATGGATTTCTCCCAGCGGTCGATGCAGGCGTCGTCGTCGGTGTTGCCGAAGGTGCAGCCGTTCAGGGCGGAGAAGTCGGAAGGAGCCTTGCCCTGGACGTTGATCTCGTAGTGGTCTTGGAGGTTGGTTCCGACACCGGGGAGGTCAGCAACGACGGGGATGTCGAACTTGTTCAGCTCGTCGGCTGGGCCGACACCGCTGAGCTTGAGGAGTTGGGGAGAGTTGTAGGTTCCTCCGGCGACGATGACCTCCTTGGAAGCGGTGGCAGAACCGGGCTCACCAGCTGCGCCGGTGTTCTTGGGGCTGGCCTTGTAGAGGTACTGGCCGTCGAGGAACTCGACACCGGTAGCGCGGGGAGGAGTAACGTCCTGGTCAAAAGTGATCTTGGTAACGTGGCAGTTGAGTCTGACATCGAGAGGGTACTGCTTGCTGCCGTCCTCGTTCTTTGCGTCACGGACAGCGAGAACGAACTCGCGGGATCCAGTGCGCTTGCCGTCGGTGGTGGAGAGAGGGATTTGGTAGAGAGCGTTGGACTTGTCACGGCTCTCGGTGTCGGCGTTGGCATCACCAGCAATAAGAGTACCAAGGTTGACGATGGCGTTGGTCATGTTGGAAAGGGCGAAAGCGGCACCGCCAACCAAGCTGAGAAGCTTGGGGTCGGAGGTGACGATGTCGATGGGTGCGTATGAGGTTCCGAGCCATCCCTCGTAACCGTGGCCCTTCTGACCGGGGAGGAGGTAGTGGTTGTGCTCGAGCTTCTCGAAGTACTTGCGCATGTTCTTGGCTGACCAAGAGTCGTCACCAGTGATGGCAGCAACATTGTCGAAATCGGACTGGTGGGGGTACACGGCGATGAGAGCGTTGTGGGCTGTGCATCCACCGAGAGTACCGGTACGAGGGTAAAGCGTACCCTTCATGGTAGAGCCCTCAGGTGGGCTGAGACCGGTGTACTCACCTCCATCGACAGTCTCGTAGGAGGTCTTGTAGTCGCGAGCTTGGCGCTGCTCATCAGCGTAGTGCTTGACGTAGAAGTTCCAGCTCAGGTTGGGGTCTTCGGAAACCCTGGCGTTAAAAGCAGGAATGGTGTAGTTCTGGCTGGCACCTTGGTCGTCACCGGCTTCGATCAGAAGCGTCTTGTGACCGGCAAGGGCGAGGCGGGCGGCCAGAGGCTTTGGAAATGGTCAGTATTTGTTACATCCAGTCAGGTACTCTTGGACTTACACCACCACCTGCACCAGAGCCGACGACTACGTATTCATAGCCAGTCAGGTCGACAGCCACCGCAAGGGAAGCGAAGGCTGCGACTGTGTAGCCGATTACGCGGGGGAAGAACATGGTGATTAGGTATTACTTTGCTGTTCGGGTGGGTATTTAAAGAAAGAATGACAGAGGCTGTAAAGTGGCCTGCTTGATCCTACCCTGTGCAGCCTTGCTGACTTTTATATCTTTTACGAACCGCGTAGGTCGGCATCCCCCTATTTTCCGGTGGTGGCTTGCAATGCCGAACGACTTCTACCTCGGACGAAAAACCATTGGCGAGATACTTACCAAACAGGTGGTGTTCAGTAGTCGCGGTGGTTGATCCCTTCTTGGTCTGGAAAACAATGCTTTCATTCGGTCCGGCACGTAGATCATACGGGTCCTTCTAGGGTACCTTGCAGGTTGCAATTTGCGCCACGGGACGGAACCTTGGAACCATTGGGACCTGGAGACCGACAACAGCGCTCATGGATCCGTGAGCTCAGTAGCGTTGGTGGTCGTATTACTTTCGAAGTAACGTATCTCGTAGCGGCGGATGCACAGCCTGCTTCAGTCGCTTTCAATCTTTCGCCGTTCATCGTGGTATCCACGGAAGTTGTGGCAACACGCATCCGCGGAGTGAGAACGCTTTCCCCGTTGCGTCCCGCACCGACCCAGAAGTCCAGGTCGATAAATGATGATTTCTCCTGTCAAGGACGCTTACCCTGGTCCGTCAATTCCTAATTGCCGGACGTTCCTCCCGCTTCGGAAGGGAACTCCACGGGTGTGGAGTCAACGGCCAGGGACAGCGGACGCTAGCGCCTAACACGTGTTAGCAGCAACGCGCATTGAAGACTCTCTGGACCTGGGCTTCACGATAGGCACTGCGATGGATGCGAACGGATATAACGTGGTTCTGTAGATTGCCGACTTCTTCGCCGAGAAGGATGACGGAATACCACGTGGTGCGAGGTGCACTGCCGCAGGAACCGCCTTTTTCTTTTTCGCCACGAGGCACACAGTGAACTGACTCAATTACGACTCCACCCACCGTACGAACGCCATGTTGAATTCGGCATTCGGCTGACTCCACAACACCTTCTAATGCTCGTTCTAGTCGCATGCGTTAAGGCCTACGTTCTGTCGCTCGGTACCTGCGCCTTCTCGAAAACTCCCCTATCTGTTATTCCCGCGTCTATGGTTGGCCCGGCCACACGGCATCGGCAATGCTCCTGACGAGTTGTAGCTTCTTCCTCATGTCTTCGTAACCGAGCGAATTGCCTTCCGCGTGTGATGCGAAACCGCATTGTGGGCTGACACAGCACTGCTGAATGGCGTCCTCGCGCGATTGGCCGGTGCCCTTTGCAATCCAATCAGCGGCCTGGTTCACCCTGGCGATCATCTCGTCCTTGTCCTCGAGCTTGGGGAATTTTGATGTGATTACACCAAGCACGACGTTCTTGTGCTTGGGAAGATGCGCTAGCGGCTCGAATCCTCCGGCACGTGGTGTATCGTATTCCAAATAGTATGTGTCCACGTTCAAGTCCTACCAAGATCAGCGCTTCATAATTGTGAACAAGGAGATGAGCGTACCTGGAACATCTTCTTTGCGATGTTGTCGTATGCACCTTCAGAGAAATGTCTGCTGCCTACATAGTTTCCGCGGCACAGGTGGATGCCGAGATGCATGTCCGCAGGGCGTTCGAAACACTTGTTATAAAACTTGACATAGGCATCAAACATCTGGTCGGCAGTCTTCTCGTTAGTTGTGTCAGCCTTCCAGCCTGCAAGCATGTCTTCCGAGCAGAAGTAGGCCAGGTTGGGGTCATCGATCTGGATGTTCCTGATACCCTGCGCGTGGAGGATCTTAAGCTCCTCCTGGTATGCCTTTGCGACATCCTCGAAGTACTCCTCGTCATTCGCATAGATCTCCTTGGGGTACGCTCTTCCGCTCATGTAACGGAAGTGATACCAGGATGGCGAGATCAGAGTGATCTTGATGTTCTTCCACTCGCTCTCGGGTAAAAGGCTCTTCATCAGGTCCACTTCACGCTGGTTGCTTGAAGTGCCAGGGTGCTTGATCTTGTCGACACAGACGGTGACATGGTTCGGCACCTCCTTCGCTTCCATGAAAGACTTAACGTCCGGCGCATAGGCGCGGAACATGTCCTTGTTGTAGCCCTTCAAAACGCCAAGCTGGAGTTCCTTCATGCCATGAAGTGTTTCGAAAAAGGTACCCCAGAACATGTGCCTGCATGAAAGGTCAGTCTAGACTCGGACTAGCAGCATCGGGACTATTGACCTAGTGTACTCTCCGCTCGACACAACCTTCAGTCCACAGTCTTGCTGGAACTTGACGACCTCTGCGACAGACTTGTCTTCCAAAGGAACGAGCTCCTCTGGCTTTGATTTACCAGAGGCAACATCGTAGCGCTTCTGCACAAGCTCCTGTGGGCGGAGCAATGAGCCAACGTGCTCGGCGCGGAATGGAGGGCTTCTCTTGAGTGACGACATCTTCAATGCGATAGTATGAATAGCTCAGGAAAGAACGAGTAATCAGAACGAAGCAATTGAACAGAAGAAAACTTTGCCCCTCATCATGTCCACTTGCCCCGCAATCACACGCCGCTCATTAATGACCGTTGGACCCTTTCTCAGCCCCGACATATCCATGTTCAGACGCCGGGAGCAGCTAAGCGAAGCTTAGAGGATGGAGCTTCGATGGGATTGGAAGAGTAATTGAGGGTGGCGGGTAAGCCATGTGGGAGGCATCTCAAGCTATGGTGGGGCCCTTGCTCGATAAGAGGCGCGCCACCCGATGTGACGCCGAGAGCCATGTGGTTACAAGGAAACTTGGAAGCCGCGAGCTTCCAAGTCATCCTTTCCTCACACCACTACATCTTAACTGCGATTGCGCGCTGTCGGTTTCCAAGTTATCCTAACGCACGAGAAATCCGCGAACACAATTTGGGTGTGCAGGCGCGCAAGGCGTGAAAAGGCAGCTTCAACCAGTGGAACATGAAGATATGGCTATGCTGTGGGGTTTATTGGGAGGTCCACAGTCCCTTTGGAACACCGAAGAGACCGGAAGCTGCAGATCAGCAATTGTTCGCTGTACCACGAGAAGGCGACACGAAGACGCAGTATGCCCCACCAAAAGTATCCCATCGATGAATGACGGACATGACGCAATACTTTGGAGAACGAGCCGCGGATATAGCCACGAACGAACGCAAGTTTCGTAAGCGACGGCGGCAGTTACAACGGCGAAAGAGAGTAAATCCGAACTTCGGGGAAGCTCTACCCCGCGCTAGGTGGTATGTCATAGCTACATATATGCTGTCATTCCCGCACAGCTTCAAGTCTAGACTTTGACGCCCTAAACACCAAAACACCAGACTTTGCTACCTACAAACAACATGACAAGAGTACTACTCACAGGAGGAAGCGGCTTCATCGCTGCGCACACCCTCGATATCCTCCTAGACCATGGACACAGTGTAGTCACCACGGTGCGCACCCAGGAGAAGGCGGACAAGATCAAGGAATCATACAAGAGCTACGTTGACAAGGGCCAATTGAGCTTCGCGATTGTTCCGGATATCGCTCAACCAGATGCTTTCGAGAAGGCTGTTATGTCAGACCCTCCATTCGAGGCTGTGCTGCACACAGCCAGCCCCTTCCACTTCAATGTCACCGATGTCCAGAAAGTGAGTGCGCTTGGGAGACGAAAACATGGAGTAGCTGGCTAACAAGAACAAGGACCTGATTGACCCTGCTGTCATCGGAACAACTGGCATCTTGAAGTCGATCAAGAAGAGCGCAGTATGTTGGATCTGAAGAGTTCACAACTTCCATTCGCATGCTAATGAGACCGTGTAGCCCTCCGTCAAGAATGTCGTCATCACATCCTCGTTCGCCGCCATCGTAAACGGAAGCAAAGGTTTCTGGCCAGGACACGCATACTCCGAGGACGACTGGAACCCTATCACACAAGAAGAGGCCACGGAGAACCCCATGATGGGATACAGAGCGAGTAAGACGTTTGCTGAGAAGGCTGCGTGGGAATTCGTCGAGAAGGAGAAGCCCAACTTCACAGTCTCCACGATCAACCCACCGATGGTTTTTGGACCGATTGTAAGTCTTACAACGCACGCTGCGATACAATCGCTGACATGCTAGCAGGTACACGCTCTCGACAGTCTTGACAACATGAACACCTCGAACCAGCGCATCCTTTCGGCGGCACAAGGCAAGTTCAAGGACGAGATCCCACCCAGCGGTGTGCATCTGTGGGTGGATGTTCGCGACGTCGCAGAGGCACACGTAGCTGCGTTCGAGAAGCCGGACGCAGCCAACAAGCGCTTCTTCGTGACGGCCGGATATTTCTCCAACAAGGAGCTATGCCAGATCATCAAGAAGAACTTCCCCGACTTCAAGGACCTGCCGAGCGACTCAACACCCGGCGGCGACTACCCAGAAGGCACACCTGAGAAGGGTCTCTACACATACAACAACAAGCGCTCCATCGACATCCTTGGCCTCAAGTACAAGACTTTCGAGCAGTCGATTGTCGACTCTGTCAAGTCTTTCCAGAAGAAGGGATTGTAAATTGTAGATAGATTGTTTGGAAGGATGAAGGCAACAACGGTATTCGATTGGCTATGTACACTATTTGGGCGGCGCGCTTGTTTGAGCGGCAAAGTCGGTCGCGTGCATGGCAATCTGAAGAAGACATGTTAGCATATGCAATCCTCATGTAATAGACAATACAGAATGTGTATGGGCAATCAGCCTGTTGAGCTTGAAATTTTTTGGACTTCACCGTCTTTGACTCGGAAGTTATCGTTTGTGTTGATCATCATAATGCAGGGAGTTGGGAGAGATAGTAATGACTTACCGATGAGTATTGCGACGCGACGCTGACCACAACATGGGTGCTGCATGAAGCTGTTGATGGCCAGCGTTGGTGTGAGAGGAAAGAGCAGGCGCGAAGCCTCGAAGAAAATGGCAGGCTTCGGCTGAAAACCGGGCCGAACTCTTCCAAGCCTAGCGGCTGCCCCACCAACGAAGCCCATCGATGGCGGGCAGTGACAGCAAAAGCCCAAACACTTTCTCGAGAATTCCACGTCACATCGCTCTATTGCCGTCGCGTACCTCGCAGCCACCCCGTAGCCGACTCTTTTCTTCATCAGACAAGCCACGTTCGAGAAATCGCAAAGATGTGTAAGTTGCCTACCACTACCCCACCACGGCCTCGATGCGCACTCGGCGGACGTGTATAGCTTGCGACCGTGGGCGCAAGGCTGTGTTAGGAAGATGCGGGGGTTCTAAGACATGATGCTATGTTCATGCTCACTTCGCAACATTATGTACTCGCTCCAGAACTAACTCTTTCTGCAGCCGACTTCAACGCCATCGCTCGTATGTACCCCCGGATACAGCAAGCACAACCCCGCCGACATCCTCTGCACGATCGCTCTATCCATCAAACCGCGACTGACCCTTGTTCCAGAGCAGTTCGTTCAGTTCTACTACAAGACCTTCGATGAGAACCGCGCTGGTCTCGGTGCCCTCTACGTATGCGACTCATTACCGTGTGCGCAAAGCAGCAGTCGGCTGACAAATGCTATAGAAGGAGACTTCTATGCTCACCTTTGAGGCGCAAGGCACTCAGGGTTCAGCTGCCATTGTAGAGAAGCTCCAGGTAACGACGAGTCTGCCCACGAAACAGGGACGGGGCTAATGCAGGGAAGAACCTGCCATTCCAGCAGATACAACACCGTACCGACACGGTCGACGCTCAGCCTTCCGCCGATGACGGTATCCTTGTGCTCGTCACCGGTGCGCTTTTGGCAAGTCGTTCCCATGTATTGTTACACCCGGCCTCGACTAACACTGAACAGCTTGCGGGCGAGGACAAGCCAATGAGCTTCACCCAGGCCTTCCAGCTCAAGAACGCTGATGGCAACTGGTTCGTTCTGAACGACGTTTTCCGTCTCGTATACCCCGCCGCGTAGGCTATCCGCTCGCTCTTGAGCTTGATCTCACCACACTGGTGACTTCGGGGGCATGCATAGAGAGTCACTGAGTCTTAGCGACTTTGAACACGACTGACGCGATTTTCTTATGAGTTTTGAGCATTTTGGCGGAGGCAACATAGGTGCGGATGGGATCGAGGATTGATGCTTGACGCAGTCATCTTTGGGAGTGTAGCTACTCACGAGTTCTACACAGGTAGATTGAGCTAAATCTTCAAAATCGACTTGCCTTCTTTGCAGCCTCCTACAGCGTCTCGAATTACATCTATCATCGTGCATATGCATAAGCCTTTTCCATGCGGCGGGTTTGTTTTCCGTGCATGACGCGGAAGAGAGCTTTGCCGCCATTCCTCCGCCCCGCGCTCACTTGCCGAAGCGAAGCTCCACGCCTTCCTCGGACCTGGAGCTTAGCTTACAACGACCATGGCCTCGTCGCGCGGCAAAAGTCAGGGCATTCTGTCTCTTACTCGCAAGCATCGGCGTTACTTCACTTCGCCTCTCCTATTCTCTTGATACCCTCCTCTGTCCTTTAGCGTTCCATCACAGCCCATCGTCTCACAATGGCTTTCATCCAGAAGGGTCTCAGGAACATTCTCCAAAAGAACCCCCACGATGTTGTCTTCCTATCCGCACTTCGCACTCCAGTCACAAGAGCGAAGAAGGGCGGACTCCGCGATGCATATGAGCATGAACTTCTAGGAGCGGTATGCCATCCTTAGCACCTGCAGTACAGACCCAAGTCCTAACAGCATCCCAGGTTCTCAAAGCCACAATGGCCAAGTTCCCCAACCTCGACCCCGCGGAAATAGACGATATATGTGTCGGCACCGTTCTCGCAGAGCTCGGTGGTTCAAAAGCCGGTCGCATGGCCGCGAACCACGTCGGCATACCCACCACAACCTCCTTCAGCACCGTAAACCGCGCCTGCGCATCTGGCCTCTCCGCCATAACCTCGATCGCGAACTCGATTGCCGTAGGACAAATAGACGTCGGCATTGCAGGCGGCATGGAGAGCATGACGCGAAACTACGGCAGCAGGGCCGTACCCACCGAACTCTGGCCCGAGATGAAAGAAAGTCCCATGAAGGAAGCCAGAGACTGCATAATGGCCATGGGCATAACCTCCGAAAACGTCGCATCACGCTACGGCGTCAGCCGCGCCGACCAAGACGCCTTCGCCGCCGAATCGCAACAGCGCGCCGCCAAGGCACGGAGAAGCGGTCTCTTCGACGACGAAATCGTACCCGTAACCACCCGCTGGATCGAGCCCGAAGTCCCCGAGAACACAAAGAGCATCACCGTGACGAAGGACGATGGAATCAGGCCTGGAACAACGGTTGAGAAACTCGCGGAGATGAAACCTGCGTTTATCAAAGATGGGACGAGTACAGCGGGAAACAGCAGTCAAGTCTCCGACGGCGCGTCTGCAGCGCTGATGATGCGTCGGTCCACGGCTACGACCCTCGGTCTGGAATCCCAGATTATCGGCAAATGGGCAGGCACACAAGTCGTTGGTTGCTCACCCGATGAAATGGGCGTTGGACCCGCGTTAGCAATACCCAAACTGCTCGACTACACTGGTTTGCAAACATCCGATGTGAATGTCTGGGAGATCAATGAGGCGTTTGCTAGTCAGGCGTTGCATTGTATCAGGACACTGGGATTGGAAAATAAGATGGATAAGGTGAATCCGAATGGAGGCGCTATTGCGTTGGGGCATCCGTTGGGAGCGACGAGTGGTAGGATGTTGGCTACACTGCTGAATGAGATGGGGAGGAGTGGGGAGCAGGTTGGTGTGTTGAGTAAGTGTATTGGGACGGGTATGGGCATGGCTAGTTTGATTGTTAGGGAATAGACAATGACATAGTTGAAAATCAGAACTCGTTGATATTAGATTGAGGGTATTATGATGTTCGACATTTGTTCTGAACCTCCCTCGGAGGCAATTGGGTATCGAGATAAAGAAAATATTAACGCCACTGAATATGCATCGCTCTCTTCAAGGTCATCGCTGTTACACCCTATGCCTTTACTTTCTTACTCTTCTTCTTTGACCGCTCGGCTAGAATCTCGTCGAGGAAGCTCTTGGGTTTCGCCCTCGCTTTCTTGGGTGCTGGTTGTGTGGCTTCCGCTTCTTCATCCTCCTCTTCCTTCTTGATGGGCTTTGCGTCTGCTTCAGCTTCTGCGGCAACCTCATCTTTTATTACTTCCTCATTCTCTTTCCTTGCGCTACCTTCTAACCTCTTCGCCCTCGTCTCTTCATCTTCATCATCGCTATCCGCTGGCTTAGTTTCCTGCTTCACCTTTTTCTGTCTCTTAGATTTGAATGTCGCGGCCCTTCCCTCTTCCTCATCGTCCGATTCTTCTTTCTTCGCAGCAAGCTTCTTGTAATGCTGAGCTTTGGAGGCTGCATTCGGTCTCGCAGCTTCTTGTTTTGCAGTGATGTGGGCTTTTGCTTTCTTCTTGCCGATCAGTTGTTGCAAAAGTTTGTCGTCTGATGTTCGTGTTCTGCTGGTGAAGCTGCCATCTTCGATATCCTTGGGAACTATACCGCCGACACCGATTCTGGAGACACTATTAGAACTGCGATCGGCAGCGCAATAACACGTATTTACCTGTCGTGAGCGTAGTTTTGTTTCAGATCTTGATCATCGTCTTCAACTTCTGTTTTCGCATCACCATCCGCAGTGTCCCAGTCCGGCCGCGAACCATACAACGACGCCAAGAGTTTCTGACCCTTTGCCTCGAGCAGACTTATGCGATTTGCGATGACATCGCCCTCATTATTCCGTTTAGACATGGTTGCGCGAATACTTCGACGCGCATCAAGTCCAGTCGCTTGGTGTTACAGAAGTTCCCGGCCGCGATAATTTTGAGAGGACCCGGTTCATTCTCGGCGCGCTAGCAGACGTCCGCAACAGCCCTGTGAAGCCGCAACACCAACGGAGCTGTGCACTCCAGCTCTACCCCCTCCAACTCGCCTCCATATACCCACACGTGTGTCTGCCGCTCAGACATCATGTACAACTTTGCCCGCGCCCGGCCGCTGGCTCGCGCTGTCCGCGCTGCTGCTGTATGTACACGGGCCTACTCCGCAAAGCTGCGAAAGCCTCTTACGCAGCGTGCACCACACTGGGGGGTCATGTGCTAACACAGCCTAGGAGACACCGTTGAAGCGCTCTGTCGTCCAGCAAAGGAGAGGTCTCGCCATCCACGAATACAGGTCCGCTGCCCTGCTCGAGTCGGTACGAACACTCCACCGCATGTCCACCAATTTCGAGGGTCCAGATATCTAATGCGAATTTCAGTACGGCATCGGCGTGCCCAAGGGAGGTGTCGCTACCAGCGGCGCCGAGGCAGAGAAGATCGCCAAGGAGATTGGTATGCGACAGCAAGAGTGAATGCAGGGTTGTGGGCTAATGCGCGCAGGCGGAGAGGATGCTGTTATCAAGGCCCAGGTTCTCGCTGGAGGCCGTGGAAAGGGCACCTTTGACAATGGCTTCAAGGGCGGTGTCAGAGTCGTCTACTCGTATGCTACTTCGCAACCATAACACGACCCCGACCACCCCTCTAACACAACATGCAGTCCCCGCGAAGCCTCCATCCTCGCCGACCAGATGATCGGCCACAAGCTCATCACCAAGCAAACTGGAGCCGCCGGCCGGCTCTGCAACTCCGTCTTCATCGTCGACCGCAAGTTTGCCCGCCGCGAGTTCTACCTCGCCATCCTCATGGACCGCGCTTCACAAGGACCCGTAATCGTCGCTTCGTCGCAAGGTGGAATGGACATTGAGACCGTTGCCAAGGAGCACCCCGAGGCCATCATCACCACCCCCATTGACATCCACAAGGGTGTCACCGACGACATTGCCCGCAACATTGCGACCGAGCTCGGTTTCTCAGAGCAGTGCATCGAGGACGCCAAGGACACCATCCAGAAGCTGTACCAGGTCTTCATGGAGAAGGACGCTACCCAGATCGAGATCAACCCCCTCTCCGAGACCACCGACCACCAGGTCCTCGCCATGGACGCCAAGCTCAACTTCGACGACAACGCCGACTTCCGCCAGAAGGAGGTTTTCGACTGGAGGGACATCACCCAGGAGGACCCCGAGGAAGTCAAGGCCGCCAAGGTTGGCCTCAACTTCATTAAGCTCGATGGTGACATTGGCTGCCTCGTCAACGGTGCCGGTCTCGCCATGGCCACCATGGACATCATCAAGCTGAACGGCGGCGCGCCCGCTAACTTCCTTGACGTTGGTGGCGGTGCTACACCCGAGGCTATCAGGCAAGCATTCGACTTGATCACCAGCGACCCCAAGGTTACTGCCATCTTCGTCAACATCTTCGGTGGTATCGTCCGTTGCGACGCTATCGCCAAGGGTCTCATCCAGGTTGTCAACGAGATGAACCTCAAGACTCCCGTTATTGCTAGGTTGCAGGGTACCAACATGGAGGCAGCTCACAAGCTCGTAAGTCACGCAAATAAGCTTGACATGCCACTCATACTAACACATTATCTTCTAGCTCAACGACTCAGGCCTCAAGATCTTCTCCATCGACGATCTCCAAGCCGCCGCCGAGAAGTCCGTCCAGTTCTCAAAGGTCGTCAAGATGGCGCGCGACATTGACGTCGGTGTCGAATTCACTCTTGGTATTTAAGCTCTTTCAGCATGAACCCTTTGCTGGCTGACCACGTTTGTGCATGATAGGTTTGTAGATAGATGGAAGCCGAACTTGAACAAGCGGTGTGTCTTATGAAAGTTTGTTTGGTCTTTGAATGCTTTTCTTCTGCGTATGGTGGTGTGATAATGGTGTGTGGTGATGTGGTGCTGATGTGAGGGTATGTGGTGCGGGCGCTGACAGCTTACCCCGCCGATGTGTGACCACTGACACAGCTTTCTGATGATGATGATCACCATCTTCACGACACTATGATCCGGTTGAAATAACAGTTCACAGACCCAATCATCGTATATGCGCTCGAGTTCAAGAGGACGAAACATCGTGTAGATATGATGGCTTTTAGAAAGGGCACAGAACAACCCAACAAACCCACCGCATCCAGGTCTCTTAATGTCGCTTTTGGGAAACAGCACGACAGCACGCACCACATGCGTTGTACATGTGTTGTTTTAAGAAGAGCACGCCTCATCGCCAGTTCGTGGAGAAATTTTGGAGAGGAGAGCACAGCTCATGTCCCAAAACAAGTGGGCTTTTAGAGGAAAAAGCACAGCTCATATTCCATATCGTCGAAAGTTTTGGAGGAAGGCGCAGCAGCACACTCCATGAGCGTTTTTTCCAATGTGTTTGGAGAAATACAGGGAAGTGTGGATATTGAAGAGAAGTGGAGAAGAGAGGCGAGCGGAGGTATCTATACGCCTTTATCCACGTGCCGACCGCACATGTTGTCTTCGCCGTAATTCTTTTGGTAGTGGGTACGTCCCTAGAGGACTTGGAAAGACGATCCCCATGAAAGATCTTTCGAAGTGTTTTAGTAAGACGGGAACAAGACACTTCGCACAACATGGGGGTGTTTCTCTATGTATTTTGCAGTATTGAAGTAGAAAGTAGATGTAGGCAGGAAAGTAGAGAAGAGGCGAGGGGGGGTTTATATACCCGTATCGCGACTTGTTCGCTGCACATGAACTGTGCTACCAACGTTTTTGATACCCCAAATGCATTTTGAATAGTTGAACGGGCGCTTTTCATATCGCAGTCTCGAACTCATTTTGGAATAGGGGGATGGCTCTTTGCGCAACATCCAGGGAATTTGATCTTTCTTGGAGAAAACGTGGTAGAAGTGGAGTTTCAGGAGAAGATGAGAGGAGAGCCATTTAGGATTTGTTGAGTGTTTTCATCCAGCTCGCTACTCCACATGGTTGCAATATTCTATCCTTTGTGGTACTCGATCTGCTTTGTGAAGGGTGGAGGAGGAGTCCTCACATGTCGAAATAGCGCCATATTTTGACTTGGAGGGAACAGGATCATGAACGTCAGCGCTCTTACTTTTTGGATAATTCAAGAGGATTCCGAATGTAGAGAAGAGATATCGGCACGCGAGTGCGGCGTTTTATATTGTTCTGGTCGCTTGGCAGGTGCACATGTAGACATTTTCGGATATTTTCTAGTTTTCGATGTTTTCGCAAAAGGGTGGGGACAAGCTTCTCATAAGTGAAGACTCAGGCTGGTTAGAAGAAGACGACAGCACCCAGAACATGCCCACATTTGGTTTCTTTTTTGGTAAAATTGGAAAAAGGCGTGGGTGTAGGGAGAAAGGCCAGAAGGGGCAGCGAGCGCAGGTTTATATCCTATTTTAAAGACAATCGACTCGCACATAGGAGGCGTGAACTGTGCTTTTGTGTATAGTCGGTGTGTAGATCCGAAACGGAAAGCCACTTTTCATGGCTGGTGGTGAGAGTCATTTTGGAAGACGCGCAGTAGTCGCGCACAGCATGTGGTTGTTCAACTTGGGTTTTGGAGAATGCACAGAAGTTGCGGATAGTAATAGGAGCTGTGAGGAAGAGAGGGCCGACGACGAGGTTTTATACTGCGCGACTGAGCATTTGGCACACATGTGACGTAGCGAACTATCTTTCTTGTGGGTACTGAGTATGTTCGTAGAGATCGGATAGACGATGCTCATCAGGTTTGCCTCGGTGATTTTTGAAGAAGGAGAGAGCCTGACACAACATCAAGCATTCCGCGCTTTCTTTCAAATGTTTTGAAGAGTTTAAAGAGTAAAGAGGAAGGAAGCAGAAAGACAAGCAACTTCGGGTCTTATATGAGCTGGGAGAAGCTCACACCACGCATAACTGGTTCGCGTGCTCTTTTTCGGGACACCAGGTATGGGAATCGAAATCATCGGAACGCTTCGCATATGTAGCCTCCCAGCTGCTTTTGGTCTTGCTCATGCAAAGCCACCGCATTTTGATATGTCGCTGTTCTCATCTGGCTACGCGGGAGAAAGCCATGATGACAGCGCAGGTATCTTTTGAATGATGTATAAACAGAGACATGTGCAACTCTCCATGGGCTCTTGCCCTGTTGGTTTTGGGGAAAAGTCGAAGTCGAGGTTGCAGAAGGAGAAGAGTGGCTGACGATGAGAACGTACTTCTGCTGCCAACTCTCATCAGCTGAGTCAAGACAAGTTTTAGCTTCGCTGAGTGTCAGCGCATGGCATGCCGGGGAGTTTCGCATTTCGTCAGCGTCACACGTCCTTGTCGTTCAGATGCACGACTACTTCGCCAAACATAATGGCTTTTGCTAGACCGAGACTGGTGCTCAAAATCGATCATAAAGATGTGCAAACAGGCTTTTTGGAGAAGGAGGGAGAACAGCACGCCATAAAAAACTCTCTAGAGTCTTTTTGAAAGCCGCTGAATAAGGTGGTAGAGAGAGAGAAACAAGTCTCCAGGAAGAAAAAGGGTTTATGTACCCGTCTCCACCCGCGGTCAAACCGCTCATGGGCAAAAGTCCAGTCCGTCTTGTTTCTGGAGTGAGGCTACCACACAGTCGGTGAAATCCATCTGCCCTTGCTGTCTGAATCTGGAGAGAGGGAAATAAGAGAGACGAGTATTATCTATGCGCTATCTGGCTTATAGTAGTCGGCCCATTTGAGCGAAGACACATAAATTTCGCGAGTGAATTTTGAATTGGGCAGAGTGCGGACACACCATACGGTGTTTCCAGACCGATTTTGACAACATCGATGAAAGTTATGAAGAGTCAAATAATAGGACAAAGAAAGAGGTCGTGTATTCACTCGCTTTAGTGGTGCGAAGAATGATTCCGAGTCCT